CCATAAGAAATTTCTACTAAAAGCAGAGCTGACTGTTCGATTCGACTATACATATCGTGAGCATGTGTTTATGAATCACATTAAATAGTAATGATACAGGTGTTCCCGATAAGGTAAGCGCATTCAACCCAACCGGTTGCACCCGCCGTGAAAAGCAAATCAATTGCTTACCTTACACGCGAACGTATTGAACAACTCCATGTGGGGAATTGTATAATGTGTGCTACTGATGCGTCATATTTGGAAATGTCTTTCACGTGTCTACCATAAAACCTTTTAAAGCCTTACTGGGGCCTTGAATGTTGTAACCTTGATCGAGCAACTTCTGAGCTAAAGTATTATAGATCTCTTCAAATTATTAAAAAAAAGATCCCTGCTCTATTGTATCTCAAACGCTGTGAAATGTAACATCAAAGGCTGGAGTGAGTGAGTTTAGTTTAACGACACGCTCAGCAATATTCCAGCTATATTGCGGCAGTCTGTAAATAATCTAGTCTGGACCAGACAATCCAGTGATCAACAGCATGAGCCTCAATCTGCGCAACTGGGAGTCAATGACATGTGTCAACCAAGCCAGTGAGCCTGACCACCCGATCACGTTAGTCGCCTCTTACGACAAGCATGGGTTACTGAAGGTTCATTCTAACCCGGACCTTCACGGGTTCAAAGGCTGGAGCTGTTGGAACATTGCTCGACATGAAGGAAGAATTGAGTATGGGATAACAGGTCCTCGATACACCTGAAGCTAATCTTGTTGGCCAAGTAACATGGTTTTGATTTGCCAGCCTGAGAAATTCCGACCTATATGCATAGAGAAACCGATCAGGAAGGAAGGGAGCTTAATGGTGCCTATTTCTTGTCTGAAAGTTTTACCCCTAAATTTTGCGTAGACGTTATCCATTAAGATGACCAACATTTCACATGTTGTTTTCTCAGTATGATCTGTACACATCAAAACAGCTACATGTACCTTAAGAAGTCTCGTAATCTTGACACGAGCACCTCACACCGTCTATGCCCAGAAGTGACTTCTGAATTGCATCCTACTTGTGAACGTTTTTCGTGTGTTTGACGTTGAGCGACAATTTTACCTTCACTGTCAGTTCAAAGTATGTCGAATATACTCCAAAGGACTATTCAGCATATATACCATCATGTTGTCTAGGTACAGTTCAATATAACAACGATAATATGGCATAAGCTACTTCTTGTAGAAAGCTCTAACATGCCTTCTCTTACATATGTCTTCAAACAGTATCTCAAATACACGCAAAAAAGGGTAAACCTTCACCGTCAATTAACACGAAACGTAGGTCACGTCTACATTTGCCGATCTCTGCCCCGCCCTAAGAAACGTAGGTCACATCTACATTTGTCGATCTCTGCCCCGCCCTAAGAAACGTAGGTCACGTCTACATTTGTCGATCTCTGCCCCGCCCTTAGAAACATAGGTAATATCTACATTTGCCGATCTCTGCCCCGCCCCCGTAACGTCGGTCACATCTACATTTGTCGATCTCTGCCCCGCCCCAAGGAAGATAATTTTCTCTCAATTACAGTAGATCCTCGAGGAATGGCTGTAAATAATGTACCAAATCAATTACCTACGGCTATAAAGGTTGTTGGATTGTCAAGACCAGACTCTATGTGTTTACAAACAACATAGTACAGCTGTAAAACTGTTGAAACAAATATGTACACAGTTGTGACAATATAGTCACAGTTGTAAAATCGATTCTGCTGTTAGCAGAGATTTCTTATGGATGTGGAAAGGGTTTTGTCGCTACTACTGACTTACATGATATCCCGAACACGTCCAAGCACCACGTGGTTTTCAAAACAAGTTTGAGGAAGTGGTCAAAACCCAGGTTAATTCTTCAACCATCTCAAGCGGTGATAGTCGTGATTTTTGGACTAGACGGTTAATTCTTCAATGTGTTATGCCCAACATGTTGATTATTTATTTCCATTTTGCAAGTCCGTTGTGATAACAAAGACGTAATTGTACGTGCGATGCCTTCAGAAACGATCTGACGGCAAGTGCCCAAGGGAGTGCGATCGATCGAAAATGGTGATTATCCTTCTAACATATCTTCGCCAAGTACAAATCTCCGCTGTCGTTCATTTTGTCATGGTCTCTTTGCTTTCTAATAAGGTCTTCGTGTGTTTGTTTGGCGTTCTTAGTAGGTAGCGCTATGTTTGGCAAGTAACGTCACATCTTTACACCACGCAGTCTAAGATTAACAGACCAGGCGTATCAGCTCACGTATATCAGTTTTGAGATCTATTGCAGTGCAGTAATGGTATCAACAGCATGTAACGCGATACCTACTCCACCGCAAAGAAATTCCCGGTCTGTATGGCTGATTAATGATTAATGTTGCACGCCTTGAACAGGAATGATAATGCGTCAGCAAGCAACCCTACCCCACTCCACTGTAGAGCGTCAACTTGTAATATATATACGAGAGGCAAAAAGCACGGATAAAGGCGTGGTTATCCTGCTTTATGGGTCCCGGAACCATATAATTTCAACTTCGTCCAACATCTTTGCCAGTGTTAGAGAATCCTGTTTGATATTTGCATATTACAAGGCTGGCGAGAAGCAAATCCAGCACCATGTGCGTGATATGCATTGGAAGCCATGTATGCAGTCTATACTCTTCACACGACAGAATACTCAATTTGTGCGAAAGACTTGATTCTAAAGCACAAGAGTTAATTTTTTCGATGCAGCTACTACACGCTTTTGGCTTTAGATATTGCCACTACAGCTGGAGATGGTGTTGTACTGTCAGGAAATATACTGAACCACAAGAAAAATGTCGCACCGATAGCGGTTTCTTAAAGCTCACATTTAATTCACTCTAATTAACAATGAATACGGAAGATTGAGTTCAAACTTGACAATTATGTTTAACACATTTTGGGGGATCACATTTAGAGTCCACACAACCAAACTCACCCAAAATGGTACCATTAAGATACCCCAAAGTCAGTATTGTGTGTGGCCTCTATGGGTATCGATGAAACGTTAGATTGCCATGTGTATTACTTGCTGATGATACTACACTTATTAGTTAATACAGTCCTAAAGGTCTACAGCTAGCTTAAGACACAGTCATTGATTACGCATCCAAATGGCGATTAACCTGTAATGCATCAACAAGTAACATTGTGGTGTTTCATAAAAAGAAGCATCTAATGCATACGCATGCTTATCACTCTGGGCATTATGGCCTAACCCTTTCTGATAGTGTAAAGTACGGGGGTATTGTTCTCCAAAGTAATCTTCCTTTTAAACTATATATTGAGGAGAGCTGTACTAAAGCAAGGCGCACTGTTAATTCCCTCCTCTTTATTGGTCTAAACAGTAGGGATTTGCAGTATGCAAGTATTAAGATATGGAAAAGAACGATCTTAACAACGAGTTTTTATGAACTACTACCAACTCGCCATGGTAAAGACCTGGAATTAACTGAAAGCACCTTGCGCTTCTTTGCCAGGATTGTACAAGGTTTAAATGAACCGAAGCATGGTTTGCTATATAGATTGGCTTGGGCGTCTCGTAACATATCATGTGTCCCCATCAGGGGTCGATATAGCAATTTTGAGTGAGTGAGTGGTTGCGCGGGTGTTGCACGATTTCTATAACTAGTATGTGTGCGACACAGTAACTGTGCTGACATATTGTTTGGTGGCAAATAATGTATTCTGTCCAAATCTACCGGTCATTGATTAAAATATTTATGTAATAATTTAGAGGCGGAAGTAGAAGTTGGAGGTGTGAGTGTGTGCGTGCAAACACCCCCCCCCCCCCCCTCTAAATCGTCATTTGTGACATAAACGTATATTTCACTTCGTTATTTGGTTAACAATGGTTATGATTCCGCCAAATTTGCTATCGATAGTCATCTCTTACGTTAACAAAGTTACTGTATATCCCTTTGTCCATGGTATGGCGATCTTCCAGTGTCTGGCCATCTGTAACACGTATTCATATTGAGTCGATTTTGTATAGTGATGTCTTTTTGTGCTAAAATGCTTTTTAAAGTCAAAATCTGTGCTATTCCATTTATTTTACTGTCCATTGTCGATAGGTATTTGTAGTCTGAATGTATTCTTTATCAACATATACATTGTTCTCGTTGAGATATTGCCGATGTGACGTTAAATATCAACTCACTCACTCACTTAAGACCAACTGGGTTCGAGTAAGCACCAAACCCATGCTCTGTGAGAAAGTGAGAAACGCCTTCAGGACTGAGTGAGTGAGTGAGTTGAGTTATAATCACATCGGCTATACTGTGACTAAAACAATTCATACATTGGCAATATGTAAAGTAAGTGAGCCTCGATCTACGCAATTGAGATACGATGACATGAGTCAACCAAGTCATCGAGCCTGACCACCCGCTCCCGGTAAGCGCCTCTTACGACAAGCACGGCTTAATGAAGGTCAATTCTAACCCGGATCTCACGGGTTATATATAAAGTAAGCTTATACCAGTCACCAAATGACAATACAACAACTAGAATGTTACAGATATACATTTTACAACTAACATGTAACTCTAAAAGGCTTTAACACTGTTCAGGACTATAAAATACCAACGGGCTATAGACCAGATGGTCATGCTTGCTGACTTGGTTGACGCATATCATCATATCCCAATTGTGTAGATCGATGCTCATGCTGTTGATGACTGGATTGTCTGGTCCAAACTCGTATATTTACAGACCGCCACCACAAGGCTGGAATATTGCTGAGCGGTGTTCAACAACAAACAAAACATAACAACAACAAAACGAGAAACAACAACACAAACAGAACATACTAAGGACTATGGGGTCGAAGATCGTCTCAGACCTACGACACTTATGACCTTGCACTCACACCATGCTGGCACGCCGTAAAGTAATACTGTCCAAAGCGGCATTAAACATTACTCCCTCACTCACTCTTACAACGAGGTTACACATGGTGAAGTGGTACATACCCATTGGCAGAAATGAGACGAGGTATATTCCGATCAGAATAACGACGGTCTTTGTAAATTTCATGCTGCTGGAATCGTTCCTAATAGCAACGTCCGTGGCGGCAATAGCACGTGCGTGTCGTCTGGCTACCAAGAAGATCTTCGAATACAGAATGGCGATTACAAAAACCGGAAGAAGAAACACCACAAGAGCGAACCGAAGAAACCCTGTGTGCAAAACACCAAGAAAGGAACAAAGTGGTTCTGATGGCGGCGGGTAGTCTCTCCAGCCATAGGAAGGAAGGAGGCCGAGGTTGACGGAGAAGAACCAGATGGCCGCCGACATGATGGACACGGACTTCCTGGTCATGACATCCTGGTAACGGTAGGGGAAGACAATCTTCACGAACCTATCCACTGTCAGGAGGGCCAGGTGGTAGACAGATCCTGAGAGAAAAATGAATACTGCTCCAATGCGAATGAGGCATTCGAGGTCGTTTTGAAAGTAGATGATGTTGTATACGACAGAGTGGATTGTAAGGACCCCGGTGAGCATGTCGGTGACGGCAAGGTGGCACATCACAAGATCCGTCGGTTCCAGATTCCCTCTCTTCACCAGAGTGTCCAGTACGATAGCGTTCAATGACAAGGCCAAGAACCCGATAATGAATATGATGATGTTGACAATAAACGTCACAAGTGTTATTTTCTTATCATTAAATGTTGAGAAAAGGATGAATGAAGATCCATCTGTTGTGTTGGACATGGTGAAACCTCCGTCTCTCTGCCTCTCAACAGAATGAATGTTTTGACCTTATGAACCCACCGTCCATGTATCTTTACAGTGATGTCGGACAAAAACACAGAAGAAAATAGCCTATCAACTTGCACCGACTTCCTGGAAAGAGATTATTCATTGTGTGTTGTGAAGTCATTAGTAGTAATGTACTAATGTGATTAAAGATCCGCACTCGGACATTCGTGGCCATCTGCCTGTCAAACCAATAGAGCACTTAGATCGTTAGTTATATGTAGTTGTCAATAGAAATCATCATTCTAGTGTTTCTAGTTTCTGCACTAACAGCCCTTATGGCATTGTTGGACCTAATAGGGTTACTATTGTATGTTAAGTGAGGTAATATTGGGTTTCGCGTTTGGTTCAAGAGCATTGTTCGTGTATGAGTTTTAAACATAAACCATTTTAGAATAAACCCATCGAAATTCGAAATTGTGAGATTTAAATAAGAGGACCATCTTTAGTTATATCAGTTGTGAATATAGGCATTTAAATAGTTACATTACCCACATGAAGGTTAATCAAACTAATAAACTTGCACAAGCCATGGGCTTTTGTCAATCTGAAGGCCCGTTCTCCTTAACCTTTCCAGAACTGTCAACGCAACAGTTTCAGTTGGTTCAGTTCTCCAGAACTAAGTGCCTACCTCGTGATGAATCTGTGTATTGATTAACACGGGGAAAACGATCGTTGAAAGCACTGTGCCCGCCCAATTCATCAAATTGTCAGTATGTCCTTTCACAAGAACTTGACCATTGCATTAAGGAGAGCTAATGAAAGGTTTCAAATGGCTGTTTTTCTTCTTCTGTTGAAGAAGGCACTGATGATTGGGCACCTAAAGAGGAGGAGGAAACATAAGAATCTCTCATTACCTGTATTACTGTGATTTTAGTGTTGGTTAAAGACAAGATCGCCAAGGGCGCCGCAACTCGCCCTGCAGAAATGTTTCCCTTGGGCATGTTAGAGACCTATGGCTGTGGGTTCCAATGCGGGGTTCAAGGTTTGTGGTGTGCAACACCTTATTTGCAGGAGTAACAGGTTACAGAATATGTCAAAACATTGGCCTGATTTATCAAAATACTTAATATATCACATTATTTTAGTTATTTAGAAGTTATATCACTTACGTACAGTTTAGTTTGAGATAATTCCTCCAAAACAGTATTACATATTGACTCTCTCAACATGACTTTACACATAGCTGATTTGATCTTCTCCCATTATTCTACAGCTTCCAGAATAGTTGTACACGGAGACAATTTAGTCACAAATTTTATGAACATAGAGGACAACCCTGTTGTGATCTAGAGGCGGAAACGAGTGTTGTGGCACCACCTTAGGAATGAAACTCCTCCAGACAATGGTTGAATACATAAATTTTACTTGAAGACTACTCGGTACGTTAACGGAGAAAGTATAAGAGACTGTTGAACTTTGTGACGCAAACACGGTGGTTAATTCAAGTTTTACTTTATTGTGTATGTTCTGAAATAGATTTCATCATGTTTGATAAGCTACTGGTCCTACATCTAAAGTACAATTCCATAAGTATAAGTGATTGCTGAGCTTTGTGGCCTATGATTGTGTTACACAAACACAGAGGTTAATTCCTGTTTTACTTCATTATGTGTGTTCTGAAATAGACAATAGTTTGCTAAACTATTGGTCTGACATCTAACGTACAATTCCAATGGGTTTTCTGCATCCATCGTTAAATATGCCTCGGCTATCGACTGATAGATGTTTTCATACGAACTATTATGTCAAAAGTTATGTACAAATTCCAGTCTAATCTGAATTTGACAAATCAGAATCAAAGTTTCCTCACTGTCACTAAAATAATACGTACTAACACGACTACAGATTATGTTTTAAAAAGCGTGTAAATAATGTTATGGGGATGTGTTTTTGTTAATTATAATGTCACATTAATTAACTTTCAGTTGTTATCGGTCACAGAAGATTAAAGAGCTGAGTTAGGATTTGAACTCATACCTTGAACTAAGCCTATGTAATTACGCCTGTTAAGAGTAAGCTGGGGAGTTAGTGTTACCTCGGTTGTTTTGCTTCCGGTGCAAGACAGTGGGATTCCAGTAATTTCTAAATGGTGGTGGTGTGGCATAGCTTTTGCAAGAAATATCTAGAACTGTATAATATGTATATAAGGGACGGTTGCTGAGATGTATGAGGGGACTACTACTTTGGATTATGCTGATCTGTCTGCTAACATGAACGTTTCAAGACCTCGTCCACATTGAACTTTCAAAATCTGTCAACAATCTTCAATCAGTTTATCTGTTTTTACTGCGAATATCAATACTTTGGTGAGATAATATTTTAGATTTTTGATCCAATAGTATAGTATTAGAAATCTGTACTGTCATTCATTGTAACCGTGTTTATTCATTATACAATCGAACATTATAGACTCGTATGTGTTGTATTTTACTGGTTTAAAGGAGAATACGAGCGAATTGCAATAATTAGCTCGGTGAAGGATAAAGTCATCAGAAGCATATACCGAAATTTTCAATTCAAAAATATGTATATTTATGTTTTAATCGCGAAAACAGTTTCTGTTATCTCAGCTTCGGCCATCATGCATATTCCGCTGGAACTCACGTGACCTTTCCGCTCGTGACGTCAAATGTGCCGCCATGTGGCCAAAGACCAAGCGCTACAGTAGTACAACACTTACTTTCAAGACCAGTTGGCATCGGGATGCACACAACACAGTCACATTTAAGAAATATATTAAAGTATATTGAAATCATCTAAAATGATCTGGTGCATTAACAATATAACTGAACCGATAAAACCGATTATTCGACAGTTGTTTACATGACGAACTTACCAGTCTGTGTTTCCGAGTCTACCGATGTTGACATCAGATGGTCAAGATGTTAAAACTGTAACCTATTATAGCTACCTTGGTGTTCTGTTCTCATCACCATCAAAGATAGTAATGCAATCTTTCGTATGAATAAACATATTTCCTTCACAGTTGCTTGTACATTTTTTATAGTCAAATAATGCCTGTATTACTATATGGTGGGGGTGGGGGTGGGGGTGGGGGTGTGTTTGGTATGAGTGCATAGAGAAGATACAGATTTCTGAATGTTGGCAAGTATGTGAATGTGGTAGATACGCGGTGCACGTGTCTACTCAAATACGTGTTATAAAGTAGTTTTGTTTTAAAATATCAAGAATGGAATCACATCCCTATCCTCACCAGTGTTAGTTATTCCTAAAAAAATTGATGAAAATGGTAAACATACATGGGTTTCAGATGTCCGTCACTTACTTTTCACAACTGGATTTTCATATGTTTGGACAGCGCAAGATGCAGGAAACATACAAATGTTTATCAGTACTTTTACACAAAGACTCCGTGATATATATTCCCAGCTCTGTACGTCCACATTTTTAAAGAATTACTCGTCTTTCAAATCATTATTACAACCTGAACTATACCTAGCAGCATTAAGTGATCAGACCTTGATTCGTGCATTCTGTAAATTACGTATTGCATTGCATTCTTTTAAAGTTAATCTATTAAGACAAACAAAATGTACTAATGAAAACATTCCTGTATGCAAAAGTTGTAATCCAGGAGTTCTCGAAGATGAGTACCATGTATTATTTGTATGTGAAAGGTGTGCGGATCTCTGAACAAAATAATTACATCGTATCAATTACAAAAGCCTATCTGTTCTCAATACAAACAAATATCCAAACCATAACTTCTGTAGCAATTTTCATGAAACATGTGTTTTTCTTATAATGAAAATGTACATATGTTCTTCCTGTCACGTGTTACGGCTATGTCGTCACAATCAATTGTCCTCTGGGCCACATGGCCAAAATACTGAATAAATGAATTGAATTGAATCAAGTGGGATTTTTTTTCTTCAACTTTGCTGGAAGTTTCTCTTGCATGATGTATTGGTACGGTCTAACATCCAGGTCAAAAATGACATCGCGAACATCTTTTATTGCTTCAGAATCCATGATCACAGTCACGTTGTCAAATATAACAAAAGAAGAAGCCATAGGCAATAGGCACATTTGACGTCATGTCACGTGATACCCGCCTCTGCTCATTAACTGGCGGGTGTTTCCGTATAGGCGGAAATTCGAGGGCGTTTTTCACGTTTTTATTGCGATTTTACAAACTTTTGGGGAAATGTTAATAACGGAAGGTGACATTTAGGATGCTTTATTTCCATATATCCCCCCCCCCAAAAAATAAATAAAAATAAATTAAATAAAAAAATAAAAAATAAAAAATAAAAAATAAAATAAAAATAAAAAATAAAAAATAATAATAATAAATAAATAAATAAAATAACAAAATAATTTTTTTTGAAAAATCGTTAGTATTCTCCTTTAAGGGGGGCTCACAAGCCTTAATTTCTAAATCGTCCAAAAAAAAATTAAGGGCTCATCCGGGATAGAATTCATTTGACATTTGAGACTTTTTGTGAAAAGTATATTTCAAATTTCTGCATTTTTGCAAACAAGTTAGTTGTGAAACCAGCAAAATGGTGTTTAAACTTGTGCAGTTTCTTAAGTCCTCTGTCCCTGAGACAGTCGGAGACTTGCGCAAATCAGATTTATTACAAATTTCTGCAAATGTAAAACTTGAGGCCAAACCTGCTAAGAGGAAATTTCAGAATTTGAAAGTTGTGTTGAATCACTACATTAATGAGTTTTTGGACAGACATGAAGTTTTGGAAATGGTTAAAGAAGAATATTCGGACCATTTGAATTGAAACAACCATTGAAGTTAATTTACAAATTCAAAAAGAAGAAAATAAAAAACATGAAGAACTAGAAAGGCTAGAAAAAGAAGAAACGGGACTGAAAATGTTGGAAATGGAGAAAGATAATTGGAATTTGACCAAAGTAAATTGGAAATTGACAGAAATTGAGTTGTAAAAAACTCGAAAATCCTTCTCCTCCCTCAAACCCTTCCTCTTTCGACATTGCAAGGTACGCCAGACTGGCACCCCTTTCAATGAAAAAGAAGTAGATAAATATTTCTACATATTGAAAAAAACCTCAAGAGGCCTATTAGTGCGGAGGGTGAGGATGTTGAGTTGCAGAGGCAGTAAGGCTGTTTCTTTTGAGGGGTTAGCAAGGTTCGAGTTTGTTATTGCTTCAAGGATGGTGTTCTGATGAGGAAATATAGGTAGCTGGACGTTGCCGCAGAGGATGAATTGAAATTGTATCACCAAATTGTGGTACCAAAATTATTTCGAAATCATGTACTTTCACTGGGACATGAAGGTCCCATGGCAGGTCATTAAGGTATAAACAAAGTTGTGAGAAAATTTTGGCACATTTCTTTTGGCCCAGTTTGAGACAAGATGTCGCTAAATTTTGCAAGACCTGTAATGCATGCCAAATTGTTGGAAAACCAAATCAGAAAATTCCTACCGCTCCTTTAAAACCTATACCAGTCTTTGAGGAACCTTCCCGTATGGTTATCATAGATTGTGTTGCTCCACTACCTAAGACTAAATCTGGTAATCAGTATCATGTGTGCCTCTACCAGATTTCCTGAAGCAATTCCTCTTCGTACTCTTCGTAGGATTGTCGCTCCTGTGGATTGTCAAGGCTTTGATCAAGTTTTTCATCTTAGTTAGTTTGCCAGATGTTGTTCAGTATGACCAGGGCTCTAATTTTATGTCTAAAGTGTTTCAACAAGTTTTGTACCAGTTGGGTATTCAGCAGGTTAAGTTAAGTGAGTATCACCCAGAGTCACAGGGAGCTTTAGAGAGTTTTCATCAAACTTTGAAGAATAAGATCAAAACTTATTGTATACTTCCCAGTCCTGGTCAACCACTGAGAGCTATATATAGCTAGATACCAGAGTCACATATATTGGCAAAATGGTATGCAACACAGACTATGTCGTAAGCAAAAGACTTTCCACTTTTTTAATCGTAGAATATGTGTATTTTTAATGTATGGCTAGATGTGTCTAAATTGCTAACAGCTGAAGGGATGATGTAAATCCAGCTAGGGCTCATGCAGGAAGCAAATGTACTGTAAGTCCCCATGGTCCTTAGTATGGTGATCTACATTCAGTTGTTGGCAATCTATAGCCTGTTTTTATCTTGTATTGTCATTTATAGTTAACATATTTTAGATTATTTACTAGTCTTAAATTTATTCCTCTGATAATCTAGTTATTTTACTGTCCCTCGTCGACAGCTGTTATATAATTTAATTGTGTTTATTGTTAATTTATGACTTTTTAGTCACAATATGGCTGAAATACTGCCGATGTGACTGTAAATTTTAACTCACTCACTCACTCGTAAGCAAAAGAGGTCGTGTCATGATTAAGAAATACCATGACAGGTTAGAAACCAAACAGGTCAATTGTATTGCCACACTCTCCCCAGTTACTGATTGTGCTGTAGACAATATTGATGATGGTGTTAGCAATGTGAAGTTTGATGACCTTAGTGATAATGTTTCACCAAAGTTAAGAAATGTTTATGTGTTAGCTCACGTTGATGAGAAATTATCACATTTATCCCCTGAGCAGAAAGCTCAATGTCAGATTTGATTTGTGAGTTCTATCATTTATTTCCTGATGTGCCTGGCCGAACTGATGTTGTTAGCCATGATATAGATGTTGGTGATGCTGTGCCTGTAAAACAATATCTGTATCGGACGAATCCTGTGAAAATTTACATTCTGCGGAAAGAAGTGAAATACAAGTTGGACATTGACATTATTGAACCCAGTGCCGAAGAGTCGTGGAGGTGGTTGGCGCTGCTGTGCTGTCATGAAAGCTGTCAATGCGTTCTCACGAACTGATTCTTTTCCAATTCTGAAGGTGGACAATTGCATTGATTGCATTAGTCAAGCTCAATACATAAGTAAATTTGACTTATTGAAAAGCTTCTGGCAAATTCCACTCACATACAGTGCATACAGTGCAAAGAAAATATCCGCCTTTGCTACACCAGGCGGACTCTATCAATACAAAGAGATGCCATTTGGTCTGAAGAAAGTTCCACCGACGTTCCAGAGGCTCATGAACAATGTCACATCTGGTCTTGATGACGTTGAATCTTACATGGATGATGTGTGTAGGATATAACATGACCCGAGGGAAGAGGGCATACTTTTCAATAATGCCCACTGGTCATGTTATATCCAACTTATAAACCGTCCGAAGATATACTTCAGATATAATTTCAATATTTGGTATTTACTGTTCAAATCAACTGGGATGAGACTGGCAGCCGACGCCTCGCAATGCACGTGCTCCGCACGCGCTACCCGTGCCCTGCACGTGCACTGCCCGCACTACCCTTCTTGCGAGGAACACATGGTTCATACCGAAAAACAATCTCATTGATCACAGAGATCCTTCGTAGCTTAGTGGATAAAACCGCCAAGCTAGTAAGTGAAGGGTAGCGGGTTCGAAACCGGGTGTTGGCACTACATGTTGGAAATTGTCAATAAGGTCATATTTTACGATCGCATTCAGTGATGGCAAGACAAAGTCGTATCAATCTTCAAAACAAATAATAATTCAAAGTCAAGGGCTATTCCTCAGAAAATTCCCGGGCATAGGGACGTTATTAAGATAATGCCCCGGGGCACAGGGACGTTATTAAGATAATTGCCCGGGACAGAGGGATATTATTTAGATAATTGCCCGAGGAAGCGAGATTGTATCAGATTTGAGGGATATTACGAGAGAAGTGTCCCCTAAGAACAATAGAGTGACGTCACTGGAGGTTTATAACATCAGTTACGACATGGACTGGGAAGACCATCTGAAGGGAATCCGCACTTTCTTCGAAAGACTGTCTGAAGCAAATATTACTGTGAATCTTGCAAAGTGTGAATTTGGAAAGGCACAAGTCGTATTTTTGGGCTTGTTGTAGGGCACGGCCAGGTACGGCCAGTTCAGCGTTCGGGCTATCCCTATACAAACACATGTTCTGAATTACTTAAACTTTCTACCGACTGCAAATGACAAAACTGTCGGACCGTCCACCACAATCACATTTTTGGACTTGACGACCGACACTGTAGCTATGGAGGTGACAATACCGGCGGAGAAGATACCAGAGGTCACCAGGCAGATACAAGCAATCCTCACGTCCAGCAGAAGGAAAATACAGGTTGTGGAGGTGCAATCATTGGTGGGGAGACTCCAGTTCATTACACGTGCTACCCTAGCGGGTAGCACCTGTATCACGCAATCAAGGGTCAGGTAAAACCGTATCATCGCGTCAGGATTACCAGGGGAGTGAAAGAAGATCTTAAAGTCTGGCAAACATTTCTCTTCAACCACAATGGTTCATCTGTGTTTCAGAATGAAGAGTGGCTCACGTCAACCCAAACAGAGCTTTTCACAGACGCTGTCAGTTCATGCGGGTTCGGGGTATACTTCCATGGGAGTTGGGCATATGGTAAATGGCCAGGCAAATGGGTCATAGCGGGCTCATGAAAGCCATGACTTTCCTTGATTTGTTTCCTGTCATCGTAGCACTACGTTTGTAGGCACCCAAGTTTCTTAACAACAAGGTAATGTTTGTGTGTGACAACCAAGCTGTCGTGTCCATCATCAACAGGCAAACATCCAAGAACCCCAAGGTGATGTCTCTTGTGTATTTGCTAGTAACTTCATGTCTTAATCATAATAGTATTTTCCTTTCCAGGTACATATCTGCTCATGATGTTATAGCTGATGCTATTTCGAGCATTCAGTGGGATCGTTTCCGGGAAGCAGCACCACTAGCAGACTCAAGAGCAACACCACTACCCGGACATCTGGGACAGCACCCGGACATCTGGGACAGCTGGAGGACCTATCATTACAACGTTACAGTCTTTCAACGAGAGTGTCACGTTGTCTCCCATCTACATGGCTGGCACCGCGTGATCATATCATATATTACTTGTCAGCATTGTCTTTGCAGGGTAAAACGTCTAGAACGGCAAACGCCTACATCGCAGCACTGGGGACCTGGCACAAGTGGCACGACATGCAGGATGCATCCCAACATTTCCTAGTGCGGACGACGCTCTCCGGACAGTCAAGGCCTGATCACAGCAGAAATATTATTATCAATTTCGAAAGTCCTTCATATTGTTTGTTCTTCTGTTTATGAATGCAATCTTTTTAAAGCAGCATACACACTGGCTTTAATTTTGTTTCTCCAGGATAAGTGAGTTGGTACCTACCCCCCTTTCTGACACGTCACGTAGGTCTCTCACTATTCATGATGTAAAGATTACTACAGGTAACGCGGCGGCCATGCATGTCACACTCGAGTATTCTAAGACTTCTCAAACAGGTAAAGGCACTTCTATCCACATCAAAGCTGTTCCATATTATCCGCTATGTCCAGTCACTGCCATGGAAACCTATTTATCATCGCAACCAGCTGCTTCCCCATATCTTTTCCTACACTTTGATGGCAAAACTAACCAGATTTCAGTTTCAGGCACTGCTGCAGAAAGTCATCAGTCATCTTGACGTGGGGCATCTTAAATTCACATCTCACTCTTTCAGAATTGGGGCTGCTACTACGGCGGCTATGAACGAGGTTGATGCAGAGACCATGAAGCGCTTTGGTCGATGGTCATCTGATTGTTATCCCCAATATATAAGAATGTAAACTGTTTCAATAATTACGAGGGGAGGTCAAAAGGTTTTGATAACTTGATGTACAATTAACAGTCAGAGCGGGTTTCGAACTTCTATTTTTCACTATAGTCTCCCTTCAGTTCAATACACTTTCAATACACCATTTGTGCTGCAAGCTGGCAATGTCCTGGAAATAGAAGTCTTTTGACTGATCACTATACCAAGCTTCTCTTGTAGCCTTGAGTTCATCATTGGCAAATCGTCTTCCACGCAAGTCAGGCCTGCCTAAGAAAACGTTCCCACTGTGCAGAAAACGCAGAAATGTCCACATTAATCGCGGAAATAGCAACATAAACATATTACCTCGCTACTGAAGCAGTAAAAACGGCAACGAAAGACTATGAAACTGCAACATTTTTATATCAGCGAACTTTGACCTCTACCGCGCATGCGCATTACGATCCGCGCTTCTTTCAGATTTCCGAGCAACCGTGAATCGCCACGAATGGAAGGTAAACCAAACAAGTGTGCACATAAGTAGGATGATTATAAATGCCAAATAACACCACAGGAATACTTTGAAAAGGGAATGTAACTTTTGTTCAAACTGAAAAATGTCAACATGAGGTCGAAACTTCCTCTTCCAGGCGCGCCTGCGCAAAATCTAAGTTGCAGGCTTTTCGCTTTTTGATCCAGTTTTAGCGATTTAAAGTTCCCGTTTTTATTGTTTCAGTAGCGAGGTATTATGTTTATGTTTATGTTGCTATTTCCACGATTAATGTGGACATTTCTGCTTTTTTCTAAACAGTGGGAAATTTTTCTTTGGTAGGCCTATAAGTGAGACTTCAAATTTCAAAACAGGTTATAATGACTGGGTGCCAGGTCAGGACTACTCGTGGATTCTGCTTGTGTTGGCGCCCTCTAGTGTGAGGACATGAACTACAGCTCTGTACTCAGTTTTGGAATTCTCCACGATATCAGGAGGGTATCTCTCTTCCAGTTATCATATTATTAATACTGTTTGTTACGAGGTGTTGGCACTTTCACATGTATCTCATGAATGATCAATGTATGCAATACTACTAGCGGCATAGCTGTTTCTCAAAACTGTTGGACCTCCCCTCGTATAATGACGAATTGCGTTATCGTTGTAGGTTGTTGCGGGGATAATAAAGGATTATAAAACAGCAATAACTACAACAGCAACGTATACCTCTACAGAATACTTCTAAGTCAAGATTGCACATTGTCCCATCGTCGATGTAACGGCATCGAATTTCATATTATACTAACGCTTCTTTCGATATTTTTACACACGGTTTTTTTTAAGCGATATAGTGACTAAAGTACTGTCGGAAATGCTAGAAAAATGCTTTTTAGCCTTAATATCTTTATAAAGGTGATAAATGTACTATGTTGTCAATATATCAACTCGCCTATTGTCTACCAAATTTTTATTTCAATCGATTTAACATTCCCATGCATTTAAAGGGCAGTTTACAGGAGAGAATTTGGTACCAAAACAGCAACTTAAGATTTTTTCAGAGTTCAACAACAGAAATCTGAAATAGTCTTTACATTTATGCTAATAATACAGGTGGTGTAAAAATATGAATTAACGTTTATCCTAAACAAATAAATGTTGAATGTTTGTGTTACTTTACTAAAGTATCATTTTCTTTATTGAAGAAATATTAATATAAATGTTAAGTCTTGATAAATAAGTTTCCCGTCATGCATGCACATCTTTATCACAGCGTCCACTATGGCCAACGATTTGCAGTCGATTGTTGCAAAGGTTTATAGTTTTTTTCTGCTTAAAAAAAAGACAGAGGTAAACCTTTCATTAGTTTAGAAAGGGTTTATTACAGAACTTGTAGAGCTGTTGGCATGTCTTACCAACAAGTTTACAATATTGTAAACAAATCAGACAAGACAGGGACCGTCTCAAATGCAAAACCGGGACGTAAAACCATCCTTGACAACTTTGATAAGGGAGTGCTTAGACGGGCGGTCTACAAACTTTCAAAACAAGCTTCCAAAAACAGGCTAAAACTACTGAACTGAACGTATTGATGATCTTGACGCAAATTGAGATAGAGGCATCCCATTGGCACTTTATTGGGGTGGTGAGGTGAAATTTGGTTTATCGTCGTGCTTGAGAATATTTCGCTCATATGACGACGTGCATGCGTGTGTATGTGTATGTGCGGCTGCTTGTACTAGCCCAGACTGAAACTGGTTTTATAGTGCTAGCCCACTGAGATACCATGCCGCAGTGAAGCATGAATACCCCACTCAGACACATTATACTAACTCCGAGCCGACCAGTCCTTGTTGTACCCATTAATGCCGAGCGCCAGGCAGGCACCAACAAGTACCATATTTTAACGTCTTTTGGTATGACGCGATCGAGACCCGCGACCTTCCGCACTCCGGGTGGACGCTCTAACCACTACACCACGGAGGCGGTCAGTGCAAGGAAGTAATAAACAATAGTACATTATGTCTCTAAAACAGTAAAACAACTGAGTATCAGGTAAAGGACTATACGTAAAAACACAACACCAAAACTCGACCATCAGCAACGGACATTAGACCACAATGGGAGTGAGTGAGTGTGGTTTTACGCCGTTTTTAGCAATATTCCAGCAATATCACGGCGGGGGGACACCAGAAATGGGCTTCACCCACAATGGGAGTTTCATATTACAAAAACTCAAATCAACTATGGCCCCTAAGCGGCGTGTCTTGTAGCATGTATTCCTACCCGCTTAAATCCAACGTGGCTGCCAAACCACGCGACCTATGACATAGCAAAAAAATATGTCTTTAAGTTATTCATTAGCTACCCTTGCTTAATTGACCCATGGAATAGGGACTTTGATGGTATTTGTACAGACTCGGGTCACTGGTATTTGGGTTATTTTCTGGTACAAAATATTCAAAATTACACTAGAACAGACAATATGGCTGGGCAACCGTAAACTACGAATATACATAAACCTGTTCTCATTTGGGCGTTAGTGTCGGCAACTGGCAGGAAACTCTGTTTCAGGTTAACGTTCCAGGGCGAGAAAACTGATATAGCGAGACGACAAATGTGGTTTCAGAAGACCAGGTTGATCGACTGTTCTGATTAAATGTTTCCGCGGCTGTAGATGATTACCTGTACAAAATCGCTAACACACATATCCCTTTCATTGTGTATAAGCCTATTCATCTCATGCTTACTGCAGTGAAGTATCATACAAACCCGCTATAAAGGTAATATGAATATTGACGTAAGAGAATGCATATGCACACTTTTATAGTATTCTGATGTTGCGCGCATGTTGAACACAATTGGGCACTATTCATCATAAGTAACTTGCAATTACACTGGATATACACTGAATGTGAGTGAGATTTAAGTCACATCGGCAATATTTCAGCCATATCGCTACTATTAACAAGTTATAATGTCATAATAAATCATTATAAAAACCTGTCGGCGAAGGACAGTAAAAATAGCTAGTATATCACAGATATAATTGTAAAACTAGTGTGAAAACTAAAATATCTTAACTATTCGGACAATGCAACATAAAAAAAGTTGCTATATATCGCCAACAACTGAAGGTATATAACCCTACTAGGGACGGTATACACTGAGTGAGTGAGTGAGTTAAGATTTAAAGTCACCTCGGCAATATTTCAGCCATATCGTGACTAAAACTAGTTCTAAATTTATAATACATACATATAACATATAAAACCCTGTCAACGAAGGACAGTAAAACCAGTAGATTATCACAGATTGAGTTAAAACTAGCTAGCATATATCTTTAAAGGTAGAAAATTATTTCTGGACAATACAATGTAAAATCCGGCTATAGATCGCCAACAACTGAAGGTAGATCCGGTATACACTGTACTACAACATAGGTATAGATACAGGGTATTGAGACAGGATCCACAAATAATGCTATGTTAGAATATGCTTTAACAATCTTCAAGCAATATCCACTGAGAGGACATCGAACACGGGTGTCGCACGTGGGCTGACATGTAACCACTGGGTTACCAGACTGCCATCATCACTGCATGAAGTAAAATTTACTGTTCTGTGAACTATTTTACTAACATGAACATATTATATATCGTACAAGATCTTCGAGAAATCCGCAGATATTTTTAAAAAAATGGATGATAATATTTATTTGATTTGTCACTTTGAACAAATCTTGAGCACATTTGAACTGACCGTACTCGATCGATGTGTGGATATTTGCAAAAGATTTAACATAAAATTATTAAATACTGGTCTTTATTGAGAATTTAGCTCGCCACCAACCTGTGCTGATTGCCACAGGCGACACATGGATCAGCTGGTCAGGCTTGTGCCATGGCTAATTGCATGCCACTAAATTGTCCATTGGTTGTTCATGATGTCAATCACTGGATTGTCTTGTCCAGATCGGGTTATTTCCTGATGAACGCGGCGTTATACAACAGATCGACAACAGTCAGTCCTGTCTGAGTATAGTGTAATAGAATATTACCTGTATTTCCTGAACATCAAATACCACTTTCCCTAACTTGCGATTACGAAGCTCTATGGGAAGTATATCTTCTAAACAGCCGGCTTCGGCCACAGGTTACGTTACATCGGGTGTGCTCATTAACTATTCGGTGTCCGAGAGTTGTTTACCACGGCACTGTGCAGTTCTAGGTGTATGGCAACTGTAGTCGCCCTATGAACTACTCTGTAAATAATCGAGTCTGGACCAGACAATCCAGTCATCAACAACATCAGACATCAATCTGTGCGACTGGGAACCGATGACATGTGTCAACCAAGTCAGCGAGCCTGACCACCCGATCCCGTTAGTCGCCTCTTACGACAAGCATGGGTTACTGAAGATACATTCTAACCCGGACCTTCACGAGTACTCCAGCCGTGACAATGACGACATGGTGTACGACGACAATCGGCCAGTTACACCTTGACACCGATTTTAGTCGTCCTTGCGACAGACATGTACGACCGGCGTTCTGCAATGCATGCCAAACGATTTTGTGACAGTTATCTTAGGGATAATCGAGATGTAAATTTAGTCAATTTTCAACACGAAATTAATAACCTTATTAAAAGCTTTGTTAATTTTCACAAAGCATTTATGTGCTAATTGATTATTGTTTGTTTGTCTATGAACCACCCTCGATAGCTTACTAACTTGTCACAGGGGCGGATACTGCACTTTTGAGGAGAGGGGTTAGGGTGGTTGTTGCACGATTTCTATAACTAATATGTTTGCGATACAGTAACTGTGTTCAAATTTTGTTTGGTAGCAAATAATTTATTCTGTCAAAATGTACCTGTCATAGACTATATATCTATATATTTTGAAGTCGGGATTGAAGGTGTGAGTGCGTGCCGTGCGCTCGCACCCCCGTCTAAATCGTTCCTTGTGACATGAACGACCTCTACGTACATTTCACTTCGTCATTTGGTTAAAAATTGTTATGATCCCGCCAAAATTGCTATCGATAGTCATCTCGTACAAAGGTACTCTAAGTCCCCATGGTCCCATGTATGGCGCTCTTCCAGTATCTGGCGATCTAAAGCCCGTATCCATACTACCCATTGAAAGCTTCTTCACTAATTTGTGAGGACCAACTGCAACTTTCTGCAGATGAATTGCACGAGGCTCATGCTTCAAATTGATGAAAAGCATGTCAAAATATCGTACATGTGAACAGCTGCGTTTTGATGTAAAGTTTTGTTAAGAATGCGACAATTTTCACTGAGTTTCATCATTTATTGAACTCATGACAAAAATCTTTTCAACGTTACGAATTTGTTTGACAATACATCAGTTCATGTGTAAACAGTACCTTTAAACAGTATGGAATATTTAGCAAAATCTAGCTTAGAACAGTTTTGTATAGTGATATCTTTCTTATGAAAATCTGTGATACTCTATTACTTTTACTATTCATTGTCGACAGGTATTTTAGTCTGAATGTTTTCCTTATTAATATAGACTACGACATTGCCGATGTGACGTTAAATGACTACGCACTCGCTCATGTCTTATGACAAACTGGGTTAGATTCCCGATTATGTTTCTACCTAAACCAATGCTCTTTGGCATTCGCCAAAGTGAGAAACACCTGAGTGAGTGAGTTATTCTCAAATCGGCAACATGTTTTAGCCATGCCATGACTAACACAATTCACACATTGCTAATATATAAACTAAGCTAAAACCAGTCGCCACAGGACAGTAAAACAACTAGAATATTTCAGATATATATTTTACAACCAGCATGTAACCGTAAACCTCTATCACTTAACAGGACAGTACAATATAAACGGGACTAGATTTCGCCTCCATTGAAGGTTTATCCCCCTATCAGGTCTTCAGAATCCCGTGCTTGTCGTTAGAGTCGAATAACGGGATCGGGCGGTCATACTCGCTGACGGGGTTGACACATGTCGTCATATCTCACTTGCGTAGAGATTATGCTGTCATGGATTGTCTGGTCCAGACGCGATTATTTACAGACTGCCGATATACAGCTTGAATATCGTTGAGTGCGGCGTTAAACAACAAACACCCAAACAAAAGTATACCAGGCACCATATGGGGTCGAGAAAAGTGTGAGACTACGCCATTTCTGACCTTGCACTCACATCATATGCATGCTGGCACGCCGTAAAGTAATACTGCCCAAAGCGGCATTAAACCTTACTCCCTCACTCACTCTTACAACGAGGTTACACATGGTAAAGTGGTACATACCCATTGGCAGAAATGAGACGAGGTACGTTCCGATCAGAATAACGACGGTCTTTGTAAATTTCATGCTGCTGGAATCGTTCTTACCAGCAACGTCCGTGGCGGCAATAGCACGTGCGTGTCGTCTGGCTACCAAGAAGATCTTCGAATACAGAATGGCAATTACAAAAACCGGAAGAAGAAACACCACAAGTCCAAACCGAAGAAACCCTGTGTGCAAAACACCAAGAAAGGAACAAGGTGGTTCTGATGGCGGCGGATAGTATCTCCAGCCATAGGAAGGAAGGAGGCCGAGGTTGACGGAGAACACCCAGATGGCCGCCGACATGATGGACACGGACTTCCTGGTCATGACATCCTGGTAACGGTAGGGGAAGACAATCTTCACGAACCTATCCACTGTCAGGAGGGCCAGATGGTAAACAGATCCTGAGATAAAAATGAATACTGCTCCTATGCGAATGAGGCATTCGAGGTCGTTTTGAAAGTAGATGATGTTGTATCCGACAGTGTGGATGATGAGGACACCGGTGAGCATGTCGGTGACGGCAAGGTGGCACATCACAAGATCCGTTGGTTCCAGATTCCCTCTCTTCACTAAAGTGTCCAGTACGATAGCGTTCAATGACAAGGCCAAAAACCCGATAATGAATATGACGATGTTGACAATAAACGTCACAAGTGTTATTTCACGGTCATTAAATGTCCAGAAAAGGATGATTGAAGAACCATCTGTTGTGTTGGACATGGTGAAACCTCCGTCACTCTGCCTTTCAAAAGAATGAATGTCTTGACGGTATTAATCCACCGTACTTGTATCTTTACATTGACATCGGACAACAACACAGAAGAGAATGGCCTATCAACTTGCACCGTCTCCCTGGAAAAAGATTAGTCATTGTGTGTCATTAGTACTAACATGATAAAAGATATGCACTCAAACTTTCGTGGCCATCTGCCAGTCAAACCTATAGTGCACTTAGATCGTTCGTTATATGTACTTATTGTGCTTAAACGTCAATAGAAATCATCATTCCGATGTCCCAAGTTTCTGCGCTAACAGCTATCTCTTATTGTTAGAAGTAATAGGGTAACTTATTGTATGTTAAGTGAGATAAGATTCGGTTTAACGTTGCGTCTAAGAGCATTGTTCGGGTATGAGTTTTAAACATAAACCATTTTACAAAAGATCCATCTAAATTCGAGATTTTAAAATTTAAACAAGACTACTTTTCAAGTTTTATCCGTTGTGATTATACGCGTTTAAATAGTTACATTACCCACATGAAAGGTAATCAAAATAATACACTTACATATGCCATGGAGGTTGTCAATTTGCACGCCCGTTCTCCTTAACCTTTCCAGAACTGTCAACCCTACAGTTTCAGTCGGTTCAGTTCTCCAGAACTAAGTGTATTCCGTGATAATGCTGGGTATTGATTAACACAGGGAAATAATCGTTAACGGCGCTGAGCCCGCCCAACTCATCAAATTGTCAATAGGTCCATTTACATGAACTTGATCATTGCATTGATGAGAGCTAATGCAAGGTTTCAAATGGCTGTTTTACTTCTTCTGTTGAAGACGGCACTGATGATGGGGCACCTAAAGAGGAGAAGGACACATAAGAATCTCTCATTACCTGTATTACTGTGATTTTAGTGTTGGTTAAAAACAAGGTCGTCTAGGGCGCCGCAACTCGCCCTGCAGAGTTGTGTCCCTTGGGCATGTTGGCGACCTATGGTTGTGTGGTCGCATACCAGTTTGTCCCGACTACGGTTTGTGGTGTATATCACCTTGCAGCAGTAACAGGCTACAGAAAGTTGCTAAAGTGAAATTTATCAAAGTAATTAATAAATCACAGTACTTTTAGTTGCTTTAAAGTTATATCACATACGTACGGTTCAGTTTGAAATAACTCCCCAATAATACATATTGACTCTCTCAACCCCGACTTTACACATAGCGGACTTCTTCCGTTACTGGGCCGTGGGGGGTAGCCTAGTGGTTAAAGCGTTCGCTCGTCACGCCGAAGACGCGGGTTCGATTCCCCACATGTGTACAATGCGTGAAGCCCCTTTCTTGTGTCCCCCGCCGCGATGTTGCTGGAATATTGCTGAAAGCGGCGTAAAACCGCTCTCTCACTCTTCCGTTACTCTTCGCTGTCTATAGCTGTCAGAATAGCTGTTCACTCAAACAGTTTTACTCTCAAATTTCATGAACCTAGATGACAACCCTATGATTCTATTCACCACCAACGTTCAGATCTATGGAAGGAAACGAGTGTGGTGGCACCACGGTAGCAAAGAAAAGAAACCGCTCCAGACAATGGCTGAATACCTATATATACTGAACATCATTGAAAACGCACCAGTCTAAAATTGTCCATATTTTCATCAAGATGGATTTCAGCATGACAATGATCAATGAATATAACTAACATGAAGTCGAAGGGCATGTCCAGTTGAAAAAATGCTTTAGAAACAAATTACTGCCCACAGTATGACTCTTAATTCCAAAATGCATCAACATGCAGCCATGCCATGAAAATGCGCGAATTCCATTCTGAAATCATACTGACTGTGACATTAAGAGCAGGTGTATGAGAACCGATTCTCATTGCTTCACTAACGATTGTGAAACGAGGACAGAGATGCTGAGGTTAACACCTCACGAAAGAGAACGTGCACTAGGCATGATTCAGGTTGGCACCAGCAGCAGGGCTATTGCTCGACAACTTGGACTTGGCCACTCCACCATCGTTAGGCTTCATAGACAGGCAGCACCCGTGACCTTCAATGACCTTGGCAACAACGTGTTACGACGCTCCATCAGGATCGCCATATTGACCTTGTCCGTATCAGTGATTGAACACTGCCGACTGCCAGGACTGCTGCACTAGTTCAAGGTTGACGTGGGGGTCATCAGCGCTGACTCCATGCGACGCCGTGTACACGCTACAGGGCTCCATGCTCGACGTCCTTACGTTGGACCAATTCTGACTGACAGACACCGTAATGAGCGTATACAATGGGCTAGCACGCATTTTCAGTAAAGGTTACAACAATGGCATGGTGTGGTAGTCACTGACGAGTTACGTCTTCATCTACGCAATGCTGACGGCCGATTACGTGTTTGGCGTAGACGTGGTGAACGTTATGCTGATGAGTGTGTGGTTCAGACAGACCTTTGGGTGGTGGGAGTGTCATGGTCTGGGGTGGAATAAATTACAATCACAGAGTTAATCCCCTTTATTACCGTGAGCAGATTCTTCAGAATCACATCGTATCTGTCTTCAATCACCACCGAGATGTCCATTCTTTTCAACAGGACAACGCACGGGCACACACAACAAGTATCTGGCCCAGCAACACATCCAGGTTATTCATTGGCCAGCACAGTCGCCAGATGTATCCCCCATGGAGCGACGAAATTGGTCAAAGTCTTTCGCGGCGACAACAGATGCGAAACATCCGGGAACTTGAGGCTGCACTACTGCAGAAGTGGAATGCCATCCTCAAGAACTCTATTCGGACGCTAATTGACTCAATGAGGAGACGTTGAACTGCATGTGTCAATGCAAATGGCGGTCACACGCGATATTGACTTTTCGATTTGACCCCACGTGTGTTTGATCCTTTCTGACTTTCAATGAATGAGCGTCTTTTCTGTGTTGTTGTTTTTGTCAGTCGTCCATCTATTATTATCCACTCAAAAAATATAAATTCCTTACACGTGCTTTTAGTAATCTGAACTTTTATAAGTGGTGCGTTTTCAATGAATGTTCAGTATATTATTTGAAGACTGCTCAGTACGTTAACGACTGGAGAAAGTCTAAGAGATTGCTGAGCTTTATGACGCACACACACTGGTTAATTCCAGTTTTACTTTATTGCGTGTGATAGATTTAATCGTTTGATGAGCTATTTGGCGGACATCTAACGTTAAGTTCGGATGGACTATTGTGTCAATAGGTACGTACAAATTCCGGTCTAATCTGAATCAGAATCAGTCTTTCTTCACTGTCACTGAAGAATGCGTACTAACACGACTACAGATTTAGAAATAAAGCGGGTAAATAAATAAGGCATTTTTTTGTCAAAGCAAAAGCTCTTCACAAATTTTACAATAACATCAGTGCGCTGAACTATATTCCCATGTCGATAATTCCAATCCGTTGATTGATGGATATAATACAATCGCCTGGGGTTCCTACTGGAATCATCTGTTCATCGTTTACAGTTGTTAATCAAATATTATTTATACCTGCAGCAAAATGCTGAATACATTTGCTCTTCTGTTCTCGTTCCTGTCCTAGATGGACAATGAATCTCTGACGTATTGTCGATTTGTATGCACTGATTTACTGTGTTATTGTGAAACTGGCATTCAAACAATCGGGAATTGGATCGTGCATGTGATTATTTAGATACCGCTCAGTTTTGTTGATAAAGTATGACACAGTGACAAATCTCCTGGATAGTCTCATGCTAGCAGGTATGACGGGTCGTACAAGGGAACGTCCATTTGAAATTCTGAGGGGGTAGGAATTTCATCAGAAAACGCTGGGGGACATAGACACAGACATTTAGTGACCCCTCCCCCATCCAATATATAACAGTCGGCCTCGTTCTATAATTAATCGAAACCGAATTATAACACGCACGCACACACACGCGAATTGCTACTAATTCGTTCCACCCAATTGTGTGGATATTTTGAACTGACACACACATGACAAAGGCACATGACTGAATATCGTTTCGTTAAAACACGACCTGTACAGATTCATAACGGTTAAAAGAACCCATTTCCAAATCATATTCCTTGGAACAATGAATGAGTGACTTTAGTCAGCAATATTCCAGCTATATGGCGGCGGTCTGTAAATAATCGAGTCTGGACCAGACAATCCAGTGATCAACAGCATGAGCATCGACCTGCGCAGTTGGGAACCGATGAAATGTGTCAACCAAGCCAGCGAGCCTGACCACCCGATCCCGTTAGTCGCCTCTTAGGACAAGCATGGGTTACTGAAGGTTCATTCTAACCCGGACCTACACGGGTTCCTTGGAACAAACGGTAAAATGTTCGACAGCAAAGGCTGCGTTTGAAAATAAATCTGTAACACCTAATTCTATTGCTGTCAAGAAGTAATCGAGAACCTGTATAGGCTTACCTGTATACTTCCCATGGCATCAGGGCAAGTGATAGTTATGTTATGGTAGGCAGGTGTCTAGTTCCATTCAGCCAGACTCACTGCCAGACAACCCAGCATTTTCCTGCAGCACAGAATGGTTTCTGTCGTTATACAAACACTGCTATTGGTTTTCTGAAATGCTAACCCTCACTATATGTTGAGTGAGTTAATATTTAACGTCACATTGGCAATATTTCAGCCACATCGTGACGAGAACAATAGTTGACTGGATAATAAATACATAGTAGCTATTACATCATGTCGTCAAGGGACAGTAAACAACGGGTGTAACACTTGCATGTTTCAATAAAACGACAGCACTATACTGAGTGAGTGAGTTTAGTTTTACGCCGCATTCAGCAATATTCCAGGTATATGGCGGCGGTCAGTAAATAATCGAGTCTGGACCAGACAATCCAGTCATCAACATCACGATGATCGATCTACGCAATTGGGAACCGATGACATGTGTCAACCAAGTCAGCGAGCCTGACCACCCGATCCCGTAAGTCGCCTCTTACGCAAGCATGGATTACTGAAGATCACTTCTAGCCTTGATCTTCACGGGTCGATATGACTATAGAGAACGATACAATATAAACAGGCTATAGATGGTCAGCAACTGAAGGTAGATCACCATGCCAGGGACCACTGAGACAGTACATGCTACCTGCATGGACCGTAGCTTGATATCACCAACCCCTTCAGGTGTTGGCGATTTTTGCATATACATATTCTGCCGTTATGAGTGAGTGAGTGAGTGAGTGAGTTAATATTTAGCGTCACATCGGCAATATCGCAGCCATATCGTGAAGACAACAATTCAATTTATGTCAATGTCAAAATCAAGAAATTTAAAACGTAAAAAACCTGTCATCGAAGGACATTAAAAATACTAGATTATCACAAACAATCTCAGTTCTTAATCATGAACTACCAATTCAATAAATACATGTCTTTGTACATCAAAATTTCTGAATGAGATCATGCAGGACATGCTAGACCATGATTCTTTCATCGCAAGGAGTACAAAACAGAGTATCCTAAGCTTTCAATAAATATTCATCTATATCTACTGTGGCGAATACGACATAGTCGCATGATGACCTCTTCGAATCTAGACTGACAACTCGAGGAGGTGAAAACGGTACTGGATTAAATTTCATTTGGTGTATTTATACCTTCATGGGAGTCCCACTTCTTTAGCTTTTTTTTTCTTTAGCTTACCAAAGTTCCAATAATAGGATTGTAATCAGTACAGGGAAATAGAAGTAGTGTCACAGATTTGTTGAGTGCTGCTTTGGTTGTAGCATCAGACACCATGTTACCATTGATTACAACATTGCTTGGTAGCCAATAGAAGACGATATCGTATTTGCAAGTGGTAAGACCATAAA